TAGTTAGAACATTCTTTAATTTGGATCTGTCATAGGACGTTTAGGATTATTTATGATTTAATTCACAATACTGTAAGTGTCTTTTGAATTTTCTCTTTGTATTTTAGGAAAATAAATCATTCTGCTGAATTTCACCAAACATGATGGTTTTACTGCATCTTTTGCGTTGTTTAAAACCACAGAGTCTCAACAGTCCTCAGATATAGCTTAGTTAACTTGTGACTTACTAATTATGTTTCGTTTGAATCGGACTGTTTATGTGAGAGACATATTTGACCATCCCAATTTCGGGTTTCTGGTGGATTTAGGATACGCTCATATAAAAAGAACACATGGCAAACATTTCATAAATCTTATAAAACGTTTTTGACATTTAAAATATGTTTGCTTAAATAGTGATTTTCTACTGGTTTACTATCAAGGCAAACTCCCACTCATAATGCAAAGGCTACAGTAATATACCTAACAAGGAAAAACCCAAATATCCATTTAGAATTGGAACAGTGAATTTAATTAAGATTATACTAATTAGCTGAATGGAAAAATGTTAGCTGTTTTTTTTAATAATCTCAAACTCAGAGTTTGCCCAGGAGTTTACAGTGTCCCCGAACATGAATGAACTGAATAGTAAAAGTTTTGGAAAAAAAATATGTCTGATTTCATTGTGAAAGAAAATCGGTTAACACGGAAAATAATATGGCATTTTTGCTAGTGTGCTTATTGGTATTCATAACCTAATGTAAGTATCCGCTTTTACTTCTCAATTCCTTTTCTTTTAATACAAAAAACGAAAACTTATACAGCATAGTACGGAACTGAACGAAAACAATTTCAAAGCAAATTCGATGTGGTTAGCAACATACAAACAAGTTCAATAAACACAATATAGATATTTCGTTCCAGAAACGTTTTGTCGTTAGGAAACAATGCAATTCTGCACTGCCCAATCAGAAATCTCATAGGTGTATTAACGAACAGAAAAGTTCGACATGTGCTGTAGAAACAAACTTGAATTAGAAAAATGAAGGATACCAGATTTTGCGGAGAAACAGCCTACAAAATAGTCATGAAAAATTTGTAATTATTTGTGAAACAATGTGGGACGATGGATATATAATTTGATAAAAAAATAATATGAATTAACGAGAAAATGTATATTGTTGACAAATTATATGTTAACAATATAGCTTTCTAAATCTTCGGTACCAAAAGGTTGACACACTTTTGTAAAGTGTGTGTACATTGCTAATATTATTGATGTTCCTGACACACTGTATGACATTTGGGTATACAGTCGTAATATTAGTAATATTCGTGACACAGTCTAGGATCTAGGATGTCTGGGTATATACTGATAATATTTCGTATGTTCTTAACACAATTTATAAAGTCTGGATATTTATGGATACTATTTCTTAATGATTTTGATACTCTTTGTAAATAATGGATGTATCTTATTATATTCCTTGATGTTAATGACACACTTTTGGAATGTCTTCATATTCACTGATACAAAGTTTTGGAATTATTGACACACACTGCAAAGTCGCGGTATTCTTTGATAATATTTCTTCATGTTCTTTATACAATTTGTAAAGTGTGGCTGTATTTTCATAATATTTCTAGATGTAATTGACACTTTTATAAAGTCTGCGTTAATGTTCATAATATTATTGTTGTTCGTGAAATACTTTAAGAAGTTTGGTTTATATATTTTTTGACGTTCTTCACACAATTTTAAAGTCTGTGAACGTTGATAATATTTACCGATGCTATTTATAATATATAAGGTCTGGGTGTAAACCGGTAATACGTCTTGATTTTACTGATACACTTTACAAAGTCTGGATGAGCGCTGAAAATACTTTTCTATGTTACTTACATGCTTTATAAAGTCTGTCTGTACATAGATAATATTCCTCGATGCTAAGGACACTATATAAGGTGTAGGAGTACACTGGCAATATGTCACAATTCTATTGACACAGTTTATAAAGTCTGGGTGTACACTGGTAATATGTCACGATGTTATTGACACACAGTATAAAGTTTGGGTGTACAATGATAATGTCACGATGTTATTGACACACTTTATAAAGTCTTGGTGTACACTGATAAAATGTCACGATGTTATTGTCACACTTTATAAAGTCTGGGTGTACACTGATAATATATCACGATGTTATTGACACACCTTATAAAGTCTGGGTGTACACTGATAATATATCACGATGTTATTGACACACTTTATAAAGTCTGAGTGTACGCTGGTAATATATCACGATGTTATTGACACACTTTATAAAGTCTGAGTGTACACTTATAATATGTCACAATCTTATTGACAAACTTTATAAAGACTAGGTGTACACTGATAATATGTCACGGTGTTATTGACAAACTTTATAAAGTCAGGGTTTACACTGATAATATATCACGATGCTATTGACTCTTTATAAGGTCAGGGTGTACACTGTTAATATATTACGATGCTATTGACACACTATAAAGTCAGGATGTACACTAATAATATGTCACGGTGTTTTTGACACACTTTATAAAGTCTGGGTGTAC